GTTGTGAAGAGCACTATATGGTTTTACTATGGTAAAACTACCAACCATGTGTTTTTTTTTTCAAAACCATGGTTCAACTAGTAATATTGCTGTAATAATTGCTGTAAAATTATGGTAATCATGACTATAACCATAGGTTTTTAAACCTTGGTTGTTGTGAAAATGCTGCAAATGCTGTGGTAAAACCATATGGTTAATTTTCATAAGGGTAGCCTACTACAAATATACTTAAATTATCCTATAATGTACTTGACTAATAGTCACGTTGAGTAAAATAATCTGATAAATATAAATGTGTTGTTAATTTAATCTGTCCACTGAAAATTAATCTAATAAAAATATATTTGCAACTGCTATTGAGACTGGTGTACATTGCTTATTTTTTTTTATCCATTATAGTGTAAGGGCATTTTGGTTAGCATGAGTAACTGATTATAAACCATGGACCGACTGTGGTCCGCCAGAAAACACTTACTATAAACCAGCGGCACGATAGCGGACCACCGTCGGGAAAGCGGCGTCTGCCGCTGGAGGTCCGCTAGAATAACGATGAGCAAAACGCCAGTGATCCGCCGACTTTGCCACCGGTGGTCCACCACTGGACCGCTGGACTCATGTTAGCTGGGTTGTTTGAGATGCGCCTTGCCTCGCCTGAAATGTAGTCGAGAGTAGGCGGCTGCAGTGAGAGGAGGAGTGAAAAAAGCGCAGGCAAGACGGACAGATCGCTCTTCTCGCAGTGGATCTGGCACCTGTGAGATCAAAGGCGGATATCGCGGGATTCACGGGATTCACACTCGTGCACGGTGTTGCTAATAAACTGGATGTATTTTAAGTTTTGTTGCTTGAATATGAAAATAAATATAATGAACAAGACACCCAAAGTACTTCTTTAATTCCATTTTAAATAGGCCTATATGTTTATGATTCATTTTTTCTTTAATACAGATAGGCCTATGTGTTTTTTTGTGTGTTTTTTTTTAAATAACATCACATAGATCGCACTGTCAGAGAGTTTGGGGATATCCACACATTATCTATACACATAAAACATGATATCAGAGTTTTAAAATCAAACATTTTAAAAGAGAACAATACATCACGGTTGTTTAAACCAATGAGCATTAAGCTGTGCCGTCAGCAAGTCGTTTCCCATCATGCTTTTGATCAGCGCAGTCGGTGGAGAGCAACTGCGCGCGACTGCAGAATCCGACACGTGCGCCTTGCGGTCGCGAGAGTTTTTTGACACACGTCAGCATGACATCAGAGCAAGGCGGACCGCACTCGGACACATTTCTAACCGGCATGCATCTCGCGCTGATCACCGGTGATCGGTTCTGCGCAGATTTTGCTCATCTCAAACAAGCCTATTGTCTTTTGTTTTACTGTTTTGAATCAGTAAGTTTGTAATGAATCGTTTGAGTGAATGATTCAGCTACTCATTATGAATCATTGTTATGGATGAATCGGTTGAATGAAGATTTAAAATGACTCACTCAAATAAAGTTGTTGATTTCTGCATGAATCGGTGTTATGAATAAATTATTTAATGACAGTCACTTAGGGCCTGTTTATACCTGGTCACTTCATGCATTTTTACTGATCGTATAGCTATCTGATTTATCCAAACGATTCCATTTACACCATAAGTTAGACTGTAGGATTTACACCTGGTCACATAAATGTGTTTTCCCAAAACGGATAAATCCGATCTTCAGTTCCCGCGCTATATGCAGATTTAATGTAGTTCACGTCACCGAAAGCAACAGATGAGCTGCATTTTATTGATCATCGGCTAAGTTAATTTCAAAATCAAAGAGTGCGCAATAGGAAAGAGCGGCAACAGCACTGGTAAGATCATTTCGTTTCTTTACTTTCTTTGAAGATGATTGTGTGTTAAGCGTCTGCAACTTACTTTCACTTTGATTTGCCATAGTTTGCACGCTGGCTTGATGCTCATCTGTGGTGATGCGTAGGTAGCCTATTGCAGTAGCGCCGCCATCTGGCTATAACATGACATAGCCTATAACATGCTCTCACACGTTTATTTTTTAGCAATGTTGGGAGGAGTACAATTATGTGGTTTCAACAAACCGATGCATTTACACTTGTCCAGTTTCGTCTGGAATGCGGCCCAGACTTTTTGCGATAGGATTTAAATCCGTCTCGAATTGCGTTTCGGAGGGCATTCAGGTGGTCTTTCCAAGATCGGATATGAAGTGGCCAGGTGTAAAAAGCCCCTTATTGCCATCTACTGGTGTAACGATGTAACCGTTTTCGTTTTTTACCCCCGTTTTCAGCAAGGGGGTAATCCATCAGCCGGAAGTTGAAGCCTCGGCCCTCGCGGGAGCCGCCATTGTAGCAGACCGTCACCTGCTGTTAGCATCCCATTGACTCCCATTCATTTTGGCGTCACTTTGACAGCGAATAACTTTACATCTGAGGCGTCCAAAGACTTCATTTGTCCATTATTTATTTCTAAAGAAACACGACAATGTATAAAATGTTCCATTACTTTGTATCTTACGTTACGGCCCCGTAGAAGCCGTTTTTTAAAAAATAGGCTAAAGATTGCGTCATAACCACGGGACTTTCTGTCGCACAATAGAGACATTACCGTATAGACAGGAGGAGAAGCTCGTAGGCAATCGTTAACTGTCTATGAGGCAATCGGGGGGACATGGAGGCACAAAGTCAAGGTAGAAGCCCAAGCCTAGTGATGTGCGGATCGATCCTAAAGTATCGATACTTCGATACTGACGTGGTATCGAAAAGGATCGATCCTCACATAAAAATATCGATCCAAATGTGTATTTTTTTTACCAGTAATTTTGTATTAATTTAGCACGCAATTCAGTGCGAAAAATAAGCGAATGTTAGCGGGTAATTGTGCAGGATAGAACCTTTTCTCCTAGTCATCTGTATACAAGACGAAACCAATCAATCACAGAGAGCGTTCGATGCTGGTGCTTCGCTGAGCTCACAGGCCCAGTGCGTTTGGGAAACGAAGCCTTGCTTAGATGACAGAGAAACAATCGGGAGTTATTTCGCAATAAACAAACCAAAACTGTACATAACGATTTAAAATGTTGACGTCAGTAAGATCTTTTTTATGAAATTAATATTTTTATTCAACAAGGATCAATGCATTAAATTGATCAAAAGTGACAGTCAAGGGTTTTACACTGTTAAAAAAAATCTACTTCATATAAATGCTATTCTTTCAACTTTGTTCATCAAATAATTCTGCATAAAATGTTTCATAGTTTCCGACAAAATATGAAACTGTTTTCAACATTGATAATAATAAGAAATATTTCCTGAGCAGCAAATCAGCATATTAAAATGAATTATCATCATGACTGGAGTAATGATGCCGAAAATTCAGCCTTGATCACATGAATAAATTACAGTTTACTATGGCATAGAAAACAGATAGCCATTGTTAAATTGTAATATTACAGTTTTTACTAAGAGAAATAAAAATCTTACAGACCCCAAACTTTTGAACAGTGGGCTAGTACTAGTAGGCTAGTACTATAATTAGGGTAGTTTTGTAAAAGTCACTGACTAATTAAAGAGGAGTTGAGAGCACAAATCACAAAATAGGACTAGTAGTCATGAAAACGTGTTTAGATTTAGCATATTAATGATGCATTCACCTCATAAATCATGACACACTGCTCTAGCACAGGAAAGTGCATACAAGTTCAAATGCATGCTTTTAAAATGAAAAAGTATCGGTATCGGTATCGGCGATACTGGCCCTGTATTTACTTGGTATCGGATCGATACAGAAATTTGCAGTATCGCCCATCACTAGCGGCAACATTCTAATCTGAAAAATGAAGCCTACCCGGAAGTGCGAAAAACTGCAATACATCGAAAATCCGCTAGAGGGAGGTCCCAAAAGGGAGCAAATATCCATAGACCGCATGTTAAAATGTCCGTTTTCACAGCATAAATTTATGTTTACATGTTGGTCCCATGGACTTTTATTGTATTTTTGGATAGGTCCCGAGTGCCTGACAACTGTGAGGGGGGTGAATTTTTTTCTAACTCGGTTTAGATCGTATTTAGATATAAAATGTATGACAAATAAGCGCGTGATTGACAGCTGATAACGGGCTGCGCCGAGTGGAATTCCTGAAATTTGACGTCTCGGCCATGATCTGACACAACACATCATACCACCTCTGTATCCTTTCTGAACATTTGAAATATCGTAAGATTTTCCAAGATGGCACCGCCCATACCCCCCATAAACAGCCTCAAAACCGTTCTTCAGAAAGTCTATGGGTGACGTCACAGACGCTTTGTCCATATTTTTTACAGTCTATGGTAGAAGCCCATAAATAGAGAGTCTATAAAAGCAATGGGACGAAATATTTCAACGTTTTTGAGGAATTATGTGATTCAGATTTGGCTTGGCACAGCTACTAGAAGATTTTCAACTGCCAGACTGTCGTCACGCTCAGTTTGAGCCTGCGCAGTCGCTCAGACATCAGACAGGAAGTGCAATAATCGGGCTTCAGTCTTCACCGTTGAAATCAATGGGGTCGCTCTGTCCATTTCTTTTACTGTCTATGGTTTTCAGAGGGTCAGAGTTTAATCATATAGCACTCTTGGTATATCACACTTACTTAGTAAAATACAACTTTTAATTCTTATTTTATTAATTATATATATATATATATATATATATATATATATATATATATATATATATATATATATATATATATATATATTGTTATATATTGTTATTATTATTATTATTATTACATATCAATATCCATACTTAATATTATTTATGTAATTTTTAATGACTAATAGATATAGATACAAGATTTAAAGAGAACGTTTTAATTATAATGCACTGACTATTATTTTGTTCTGCTGATAAAACAGACAGGAAGGGGAAAAGATTAGGAAGACCAGAAGGAAAGATTACTCGCGCATGCGCAGACACAGTACTTCCCTGCCGTCTGGTAAAACTTTTTCTGGTGACTGGTGATGTTTTCAAACTCTGAGCGGTGTTTTCCGGAAGCACATCGGCACCTCAAGTGTGAATCCATTTACGATTTTCAGGAGAAACATGGGCAGTTTACGCAGCGAAAACCGCTCTATCCATTCAGACAACATCCAGGACGTCCATAACATCCCAATGGACGTAATCATACGACCCATTCCGCCTGTTTTAGACGAGCAGAAGGTCCAAAGCCTCATTACCAGCATAAAGGTTAACGTTAGAATAATTAGTATTGACTACATTTAACGTTTAAATGTGCTTAATCAGTTTGTGACATTATATAAGGTCGCCGCAGTGATGATGTGTTGTGGTGATTTTCCAGGAGGGCTCAGATATCTCCGTTGTGCCTCCCATAGACGTGCTTTGGATCACTGGAGAAAAGGGGGGCAATTATTACTATTCTTTTGGAGGCTGTCATCGATTTGCTGCCTATCAGAGATTAAAGATGAAATCCATACCGGCCAAGATTATCAAATCTAACATCTCAGACCTTCGCACTTACCTGGGAGCATCCACGCCGAATCTACTGTGAGTGACACGGCCACTGATCTAGATAGATCTATAGATCAGTCAGTGGATATACCACACGCATAAGAGACGCACTGAGTGAGGTTGGCAAACCTGCACTGACAGCCATCTGGATGATGTTCAGGCACATTTATCCTGGATGATTATGTTTTCTATAACACTGAAATGTGGATTCTGGTGAAAATGGCACTGATGTTTCTGCAGCTTAAGTATCATGATGTGTCAGTTTCTGTTCTCTAGTTATATCTCTAAAGGTGTTTCATTCTTATGAATGAGCTATGAGTTTTGAATCATCAAAAACAAATGTCATATGCCAAATTTGTATTTCTTTTGCCCAACATCCTTATGCTTGGTCACTGTGTGATTCAAGTCATGATGACTAAACAGGTCTCCATTCATTTGTCAGTTCTTAGCCTGACCATCAGATGGCAGCATTATAACACTGATTAATTAGAGCTGGGCTTCCCAAACTGTGTTTGGTTCTGTTATTGGTTAATATAACATAAAGGTAAACAAATAAAATATTTCATATTTTTTAGCTAAGTGTTCATTTTGATTTATTTTTAAAACTATAATTTTTTTTATTTTAATTTCCGGCCCCCCACCAGTTCTCTTGGGGAAAGCTTTGAGCAGAGTATGAGATTTTGTCCGATGTTATATGTCCCCTATAGAGCTATTCAGTCACAAAATCAGTTTGTAGAACAACCTAAATGCTATTTAACTTTATTAAAAAATAGCTACAGATCTTATTAGAAAAATAAAGTGAAAGAGTTTATTCCGATCTATTTGCATCAATGCATTTAATTGGTTAAAATAAAATGTTTTTCAGTTTTGTATTGTATGCTTCCATTTGATGCTCAGGCTTATCTGACCTTTGAGGATTGTTTTCATTTTGTTCCATTCACATTCCTATGCCAAACCACACCATGACCATTCGAGATGACCACAGGCCATTGGACTTGGTTACAGTATGTCTGTGCTCTGGACCGCAAGCTTTGAGATTGAGTCTCATGGGTGGACTCTGATGTCAGATGATTGTCTGGCACAGTCAGAGTCATAAGAATTTCGCTATTTACTTTTTTACTCTTCTGTTTTCAATTTTACAAGCTGATTCTGCCCATCTTAATCAGCACATTTTAATATAACCACGGCAAACTATGTACTTTGTTGAACTGTGTATTTTTAAAAAACTGTATTTTTAGATGCACTAAATTTCTTCACAGCATTTTTAAAAATTACAATTGATTTTTTTTTATGCCAGTGGAGGGGCATGAGAATTGTAGGACGTTCTCTGAAGCTCATCTATAACGGCAGGACATGTTGGGGGTCATGTGTCATGAGAACTGGCCAGCATTCTTCTCCTCTGCAGGCTAGAGTGAAGGAAAAGAATGAATGCAGCAGCTCTGTTTTATTACACTGCTATATATAGATGGATTGAAGCTCACAGTCAGACTGGTGTAGAGGACATATAGTGGAACCGCTAATCTGACATAAAAACTTCTCAATCATTTCTACTTTCAGCTGTTGTCTGGAGGAGATCAGAGGACGGGCACCTCAGATTTTTTCCTTGTAATGGCATTTCATTTCCTTTTGACCCTTGACATTGGCCTAATATCCATAGCGAAAGGCCTCTCAGACTCTACAACAACAATGACTGAAGCTTTTGAACCCCAGAATCTCAAACAGCAAAAATTGCAGGTGGCTCAGTCAATAATATAATAAAAATGACAAATTTGATTGTGTATTTCTGAATGTTGCAACAGTTTGTATGGAATGGCTTCATAATAAAAAAGCTTTGCAAATGTCAGCAGCTTCAAAGTTTTGCATATGTAAATCTCCTTAAAGGTAGGGTAGGCAATTTTTTTCATAAACACTTTTTGTTATTCTGGTTGAAACCCTTCACATCCTAATAGAAATCAATGATAGAAGTGGTCTAAATATTAAAAAATGTATACACATATATCGTCTGTGGAAGTCTCAGGACCAAAACATTTCATCTGATGTCCTACCTGCCTGTCAACATATGTGTGCCCACGTCCCGTAAGGCAATCCAGAGTTGTCGAAACAGTGACTGAGCACCGCAGACAAACAGCAGCTGCCTTTTACAGTTCCTCTTGAACCAAAACAACGAGTTTATGCTGCTTATGTCCCCACCGGAGCTGCTCACGTCCTCAGACTCGGATTAATGTGTTTCTGTGTCGACACTATCAACACCGAAATGAATCTTCAACAGTCAGGTCACATGGTGCATGTAAGAGCTCTGTTGATTATGTTCATTACTATTGTAATTGTATGTGCTTTGAGACATGAGGTAATTTAATGCCGTCTCTCATGACACTTTGTTGAATCTGCTCCGGCTGTACACGTTCATGTGTTTTAGAGGAGGTGTGGCTTTGACAGCGCTCTGAAGGGAGGGTGAGATCTAATGCTTCAAAGCTAGCTTGCTATTGCTAGCCGCTCCAAAGCTAGCTTGCTATTGCTAGCCGCTCCAAAATTGCCTAACCTACCTATATTGGAAAAAAACATTTGGTCCATACACTGATAGTCAATGGGGTCCAAAACAACATTGGCATAGAGTGCTGCAGTGATGACGTATGACTAACCCGGGAGTTAGCATCACTCTGGTTCCCTCAGCAAAAACCCAATATGAATTTTCCATTGGCTTTTGGATTATTGCAGAAAATAAGCTCATAAACAAAATTTTATGATTCTTACAAGTTTTGTTCATCATGATAATCTTCCCAAATGAACACAACTTTCATGAATATTGAAGCCTAAATGCAATCGGCATTAGTAAAAAGCTAAACGTAGACTTCTGCGTCACATCCCTAAGCTTCCGACAACTCTTTCAGTCTTTATTTAAAAAACATTTATCCTGTAAGTTTGAGGTATAAAAGTTTGCAAGAGCACGATTACAAACACAACGAGGCTGTAAAAGCGGACCAGTGAGTAGATGAGTTTTCCTGTTTAGCTGATGATGTTTAATGTCAGCCTCTGTAGTCCCATTTAGCCGCTTGTTAGCAACCACCTTTTCGTTTCACTAAAACGTGAAAATATCTTGACCTTGTGTTTACCACAGACCTTATTTCTGGCATTAAACCAAAAACCCATGACTTCAGGATGATGGAACCAGAATTGCAAGAATGCTAACTCGTTTCTGGGATTTGGCCTACAAAAATACATCATCCCTGCAGCACTCTATAGACAAAAAAGTATCTTCAAAATTTCTTATTTTGTGTTCTGAAGTAAAAAAACAAAACAAAAATGTCATAGAGGTTCGACGTGAGGGTCAGTACATAATAGCATTTCATTTTTGTGTGAACTATCCCTTTAAGAGATATTGTGTTACCTTGGGATCTTTATAGCAACAGTGTTCAGCTGAAGATCAACAGCTGCTGATTGCAGGAATCATGTCTTTACAGTCGCATCCTTTGATCGTGGAGGAAGGTACAGGCCTGTGATTGGCGATTACTACCCTGTAGATCTCTGCTGGTAGATAACAGAGTTTATCCATTGGCGATATACGAGTCCCTGGGGTCCCGGCCCTGATCTTGGCCTCCCTTTGGGGCCCCTCAGGAAGTGAAGAGGGGGCCCCGGGCCTCGGCGGAACAAACCTGACCGACTGTAAATTTCTGGCAAAAGAATGGTCGCGTGTGAGAAGACTTCCTGTGGCTTCCTCACGGTCTGGAAAAAATGTATCCTTAGTGTCCTGACACGCATAACCCCTGATTGAGGAGGCACAAAGAAAGAGAGACGACACACACCCAATTTGGGAAGCGTGGGCTGCACCTGCTGTTTTTTGGGAAATAAAGGAAGCTGTAAGATTGTCTCTTACTTCCCAAAGATTTTTCATCCTAACTAGGAGGAGAAAGATGAAGAATGACAGATGGTGGGAGAAGAAATGGTTCCAGGTACTTAAGGTAAGGTTTCACTTACATCATTTGTAACATCATTGTGAGTATACTTATGTTTGAAAGTCTCATGAATATTTCAACCTCAGGCACCTGTCATTGTACCGATGTAATTCCACTGCTCTGTTTTTGACAGGCGTGATAAATCATCTCTCTAAGACAAATCCATTCTGTCTGAGGATCAGAAGGGGACAAGACACAGGCTTTGACCTGGAAGCCGATCTTCCCTCCTCTTGTTCTTGAGCGTAAGATCATGAGTGTGAGATTTTGAATGATATTTTGTAGAACTTGTTATATTTATGCACATTACCAATTGTATCTTTTGCTGATAATGTAATTCTCCTTACTGACTTGTAAAAGAGAACTCTTTGTGCTATGTCTGGAAAATGTTCATAATGTCCATATGCATCTAACAATTCGTATAGCGACCGATTAATTAAAAAAAAGAAAAAGTAAATACATTTTTTTATTATTGTGATGTACGTTCGAGTGAAACAGATTGTTAAAAATACAACAATGCAGGACGTGACGCGACGTGGTTCAGTTGGTTGGATGGAGGCAGATCTGAATGAAAACTTGCAGTTGATTGTGGAAAGTCTGGAAGATTGAGTTTTGATTAGAAATCGACATTTTAATTAAAAACACGTTTTAATGAAACGCATGCATAGTTGAATTGTTCACAATAAGATCAATTATGTATACAAATAGATTGAAATGACAAGCTAGGTGTGAAATTGTTATATTTTTTTGTCCTGTTAATTTTATACACAATTTTATTCATAAAAGACGTGCAGAATGATTCGTTCATAAACATCGTCTTACGTAAATGTCTTGTTAAATTGAATGCAACAATTTACGCAGGAATAATTTACAAACAAATTATGTATGATAAATAGTAAAACCTTTGAAAACAGGACATTGACTTGCTTCATTTTCTAATACGCTAATGGTTAGAGAGTCAGACTGGGAACACGAAGGTTGCAGGGTTAAATGCAGAGGACAAATTCTGAGTACTTGGCCTTCACATGTCACTTTGTCTTCAAATGACTTAAAAACTTAATTTAAAGTGTCCATTAAGTGTGTGTTGGTGCTCCTG